TATATATATATATATATATATATATATATATATATATATGCTAGAGTAAGCTTTATAATATAAAATACAAAAAAATACCCAACATCTTGATGGTATTCCTTTTGCTTTTCCTGGAAATATGGTGAGTGGAAGACAAGGAGGGAATTAAGGAATTGAGATTCCAACGATAATTAGGTCCCAATAGGTGTGAAACAAAGAAGGAACTAACATATAAATATGTAGAAGCTTTAAAAAACAAAAAAAATAGATCATTATAATAACAAAATCCAAATGCTTTATTAATTTTTTTTTTATTGCATATTACACCTGGCTCAGTTTATTGCAATGCCACAGAGTTATTGTTTAATCCAAACAACCTTCCAGTGATGCTAACAGTCACAAATTCTTGTCATTCTCTACTTTTACCGACTTTACCCCTGCTCAGAATAGGAAAAGGTATTAAGTAGTTTAACAAAATTGAACAGGTTTATTATTATTATTATTATTATTATTTTAATCAAATGAAAATAATAACTATAATTCAAGAATAAAACGTAACGAATCATGGAAAAAACTTTTATTAATTTGCAACTAATAAGACCCATTATATTATTAATAAACTATTAAGAGAAAACCATATTGGGATCCATGTTCCACCTTCACACCTGAGTAAATGCAACTTTTTTTAATAGAAAAGTTAATGACTACTCTAACATCTTCAAACATTTCTATCCATTTGCAGTTTTAACCATAGCCTCTTCCTTGCACTCTTATGATTTGAAACCTGGTCTAGTTTAAAATATACAAAGTTATAGTTTCTACAGAGTTATAAGAATAAAGATTGTAAATTTTTTAAAAAGAAAAACGATCTTGAGTAGAGAATTATTTTGATCAGTTGTGTCGTTGGTTTCATCAGGAAATAATGGAGGGAATGAAAAGTCAATGCTTGAAAGAGAAAGACCATTTTAAGAAGTGACATGTTCAGCGTACAATATGTCCACATCTGAAGGTATATAGTCTGCTCTTAATATACCAACAGCCTGAAAAATTCACACACAATAACATATTATTAAATCTGTTTTTTTACATTGTTAACTTTTTTAACTAAATTACCAGTTTAGTCCCTGATATGCAATAAAATGAAACAGCTGGACATACCCCCACTGACTTCTGGTATACCACAAGGTCTAAATTTGTAATTTTGCTGTTTTTGTTATACATACCTGCTCCAAGAAATAACTGGAAACACTGGGGAGCTCTCCAATTCCATTCTCCTCTTGTAAGCGGCTTTCATGGCTGGATGATTCCAGAGTTTCTCAACTACAGGGGTCTCTTTATATAATATTCTAGCCTGTTTGAAAATTTTACTTGTACCAGACCCACAACATCCAATTAAAAGAAGCTTTCGAGGGGCATTTTGGTCAAAATAGTTTGGGATTGATTGAGTAAGTGTGTTGCTCAATTGCTCTCCAGTGGGATAAATTGTCTTGGATGGAACTGGTAGTGATAAAACAACACAAACCAGCTTTGTTCCAGCCTGAAATAAAACTTTATGTTAAAAAAATATTCGAATACAAAAAGAAAACATAAACATGAAACATATTTATAAAAAGGTGTCACCTCTCCCCATATGTATACTCTGGTGTTTTTCTGTCCCTCTTCCTGATAAGATCCATCATCATTGACCCAAAAGTGAGCATTACCAGCACATTGGACTCCAGATAGCTGCAACATTTAACAATTCACATGATCAGTGGAAAATTGAAATAATAAATATAGAACAATTCAAAGCAAAATCAAGATTAGTGGCTTACAATGACTTGCAACATATTAATAAGAAAAATGTTATGTTGTAATTACAGGAAATCATCTAACGATGTAACGGATCGAGTAAATGATGGACACTTTTCATGAAGAATGCCTAATCCCGCAAACATATAGACTTCTGTAGGTCAACAAATTCTTGCAGTTTATGTAATTTCGATTAACGGAAGAATACCTGGCAGGTTGAGATCGTAGTTCTTCGGTCTTGAGCTGTAGCTGTAGGATATGGTATGGACAGAATCGTTAGAGTATGTAGAAAATGATATTGGAGACGGGGAAATCAAAAAAATAAAAACAAAACAAAACACACATGCGAAATCACAGTAACAGCAAAAACGAAGCTACAAAAAAAGTAAACAAAAGGGAGTTATTTCCATGTAGAGTAGTTGAGCACAAATTACCTCAGAAATTATAAGCAGGCTATTATTTTTTATTTTTTAATTTGTTCTACATATGAAATATGAAGAATATCGGTTTGACCGTTTATACTTTCAATGACACTATCCTTCTTGAAACAAAAGTCCCACCCATATATGACTTAATCCAGATATATATCGCTTTATCCATATATGTATTATTGGAAAAAAAATAGATGCTTACTCTAATTTTGTAGAACCAATTGACATTATATTAATATCTCTTTTCTCCGGTTGCAGTTAAAATCCTATTTTGGGTTCATATTTTTTTGATAACCGTCTTGTTAAATTGTTGGTTTATGTTTTTTAGACAATCGTCCAATCATTTTTCTTCTCGCACATTAAGTTTATCATTTATGGTTTAATTTTTTTCGTTATGCTACTATATAGTATATACATACATACATATACGAGCGATCGATTATTGTTAATATTATTGGTCATAAATGATCTTGATGATCTTCACCAAAAGGCGCTGCATGAACTCTATTCACGTATATATATAACTGAAACTGCCCTTCCATTCGATATATTAAACGATCATATTAAATGAACCATTATAAAGAATTCAATGGTAGTATTAGTTACTTTACTAGTAGGAAGGGGAAGCGCTTGATCTTAGACTCAGTCGTCTCATCCACCCGCGGTTGCAATTTTTTACCTATAAATATGTAATCTACATTCATTTTTTCTTTAAATCAATCATCTATCTCTTTCTCAGTTTCTTTCTCTAATTAACATGGCTCTAACAGCCACCAAGAGCAGTGCATCTAAAAGTGCGTCCAAGAGAAGGTACTACAGCTCATCTGACAGTGATGATGACTACTCTTCCGTGGTTGATGAGGGAGCCTCTGGCACTCTTGACCTTCATCATACACCACTTGTATCCAAATATGATGATCGAATCAGACCCTTGCTTAACTGCGTTGATAACCTCCGTCATCTTAAGGTGATGCAAGAAGGGATCCAACTCCCGACCATCGTTGTTGTTGGTGACCAGTCGTCTGGGAAATCCAGTGTGCTTGAGTCACTTGCTCGAATCAGCCTCCCTCGTGCACAAGGCATTTGCACCAGAGTACCATTGATCATGAGGCTACAGCATCATGCAGACCCTCGCCCTCAGCTCCATTTGGAGTACAACAATAAAAGTGTTGTTACTGATGAAACTCGCATCGAAGAGGATATTATTGCAGCGACGGATGAGATTGCTGGAAATGGGAAAGGCATATCACATACTCTGCTCACACTGATCGTGAAAAAGAGAGGTGTCCCTGATCTTACCATGGTTGATTTGCCCGGAATAACCAGAGTTCCTGTTCACGGTCAACCCGAAGACATCTACGAGCAGATATCTGCAATCATCACCGAGTACATAACTCCGGAGGAGAGCATCATTTTGAATGTGCTCTCTGCCTCCGTTGACTTTTCAACTTGTGAATCCATAAGAATGTCTCAACGAGTGGACATAACCGGACAAAGGACGCTTGCTGTTGTTACCAAAGCAGATAAAAACCCCGAAGGTCTTTTAGAAAAGGTTACATCGAATGATGTAAACGTTGGCCTCGGGTATATCTGTGTCAGGAATAGAGTGGGTAAGGAGAGTTATGAGGAAGCTAGGATCAAGGAAGCGAAGCTGTTTGAGACACATCCTCTACTGTCGTTGGTTGATAAGTCCATGGTCGGGGTCCCTGTTTTGGCTGAAAAGTTGGTCGAGATTCAATCGACAATCATATCAAAGTGCCTCCCGGATATCGTCACAAAGATCAACGAGAAACTTACTGGGTATGTCGATCAATTGAACAAGTTACCTCGGAAGATGACCTCTGTTGCAGAAGCCATGACGGCGTTCATGAGAATCATCGGTTCTGTTAAAGAATCGTTGAGAAAGATCCTGATTAGAGGCGAGTTTGAGGAGTACCCGGATGTTAAATCCATGCATGGAACTGCTCGTCTATCAGAAATGTTGAATGAGTACTTTTTCAAACTTCAAGCCACTGCTGACAATGAAGGAAATGGGTTTTTCTTGATGGAAGAAATCAGAGTTCTGGAAGAAGCCAAAGGGATTGGACTACCCAACTTCCTTCCTCGAGCAGCTTTTCTCACCATACTCAACAGAAGGGTAAATGGAATTTCTCGTATGCCTGTTGAATTCGTTGGGAACTTGTGGCATTATATTGAAGATGTTTTGATCAGTGTCTTGTTGCGTCATTCCGAGAATTACCCTCCACTACAATCTTCAATGAGAAGATCTGCACACAATTTGATGGCAAAGATTAAGGTGGCTTCTGTTAACAGAGTGACGGAGATGGTGGAGATGGAGAAGATGACAGATTATACTTGTAATCCAGAGTATACACTAATTTGGCAGAAGCTGATGGCTCATGAACAAACTTTCATGGAGGCCATCATTGATCATTCAAAGTCAGGGAAGATTAACATCGAGTGGTTGAACTATGAGGTGGAGCATCTGAGAAAGTATGGTGTTGATGTGGTGAAACAAGCATTTGATATGAAGATGAGAATGATTGCTTATTGGAAGATCGTGTTGAGAAGAATGGTGGATTGTATGGCTCTTCATATGCTTTTTAGCATTCAGAATCTAGTTAACAGGGACATGGAGGTGGAGATACTGGAGGAGTTAATGGCACCATATGGTGGTGGTATTGAGCGGATGTTGGAGGAGGCACCAATGGTGGCAGGAAAACGGGATAAGTTGAACAGAAGTATAAAGTTGCTGAGGGACTCTAAAGAAGTTGTGGCAAACGTGATTGATCAAATCGCTGCATATGGTGATTAGGTGTGCCCCTCTTTTTCTCTCATTTTGCAGAAGTTTAAGTTGTTGGCTTTTGTTTTTATGCATATGATCTTTTTAAGATTGTTTTTTGTTATTTCCAAGCTGTTATGAGGACTTTTATATTTAATGCTTACTTCGTTTGTTATTTATTGAGCTCTTTCAAGTTTTAAGCGTAGTGATTCACATTTTATCCACAAATGCTTCAAAATATAATTAGCTTGCCATGGAAATGTACCAAATAACAAATTGTTGAAGAGTATAATTCAAGAATCAAATTCTACATCATCAATACATGTGTTGCAGTAGCAACTCGAAACCAAATAGAGCTCCAACTGGGCTAAAAACCAAAATAAAACAAACATACAACACATCACAATTAAAAAATTCATGGCTTCAAGATAAAATTTCCACTTTCACCATAGAATTCCTCCAACTGCTCCTTTTTGTTTATCTTAAAACCTCTAATCCTCACTTCCTCAGGCAATTCAACACAATCTTTATCAACACTCTCAATCGTCCACCCATTGTTACACACAGAGCCTCCCACTTTCACCTAAATTTTCACATATTTAAACATTAATATATTATGCCTATACATTCATCATGGCTTCAAACTTTTTCCATTAAAAATTGTTAAAGAAGTTAACATATACCTCAGCTTCATCAACAGAATCAACAATAAGAGCTCCATCCAATTTAAGATCTTCAATAACAACATTGTGACCCTTTATAACCAATGTAGATTTTTGAGAAACAGAATTGTTTCCTTTCACTTTGCTTTTAACATCAGAAAATGTAACAGCCCACTTTGGTTTCCACACAACACGTGACCACACTTCCACTTCTTGACCATTAAAGACTTGTGTAACTGGATCATCTACCTTCACACTTGCCTATATAAACACTTAAGAAACTGGAATTAACTATAAATAAGATATAAGTTATATGATATATCAAGAAAGTTAAAGAATTATAGGAACTGTTTTAAAAATTTTGCTAACCTTTCTTAAAATCATGCTGTTTGCTCTATAAATTGCTGTTTCTCCAGAAGTAGCACTGTGATATGGATTTCCTTTAGGTACCTTTAATTTAGTGATTTCTAAATTAGTTAATTATATCAAATCAAGTATATACATTGAGAATTAAAATACATTTTTTAATTTAGTACCTTTGCAGCATCTTCCGGATTGTTCTTTACAGGTGCATAAGCAAGCCATGTTTCTGTCACCTAAAGAGTGATTAAAAATTTGGAAAAATCTTAAGTTGTTTAAAGATATCTTAAACTGGAAGAAGAAGTTTTACTTACTGTGAATCCAACCCTAGCAGATGGAGGCAATGTTTTAGGATAATCTTGCATCATACATTCCAATCTTGTGGAGGACTTGAATTCAGTTTTAGTTGAATCTTTGTATCTTCAATGCAAATTATACAAATTAGTTTTTGGGCCAAAAATTATTAGGAGATTTAAAAATAAGAGAGAAAATTACTTGGGGTTAATAAACTCCTTTATGGCACCACCGGTTTTTGAGAGCTCATCAATGTAAGGGCCAAGTTCAAGAATTAACTGCAATGAAACATAATTATTTAAAAAACAAGACTTTATGATGATAAAAAAAAAAAATCAAAATCAGATGAGAATCTAGAATCATACTTGGTTTATGTTTCCAGGGTATGGAGAATAGCCAGTTTCACAATTGACATCACCATCAGGATGACCTGTTGCTCTAAGGAGAGGATCAAGCTGATTGTATTCCACATTAATCACCATTTCCCTACCTAATATCATATTATTTAAACACAACAATAATCATGGATAGAAATGAATGATAAATATATATATATATATATATATATATATATATATATATATAAATTGTATTCACTAGTCAACAAAATTTACCATCTGTATGAGTAAGCTTTGTAATGCCTCCAATGGCTTCTTTGGCCTTTCGAGGAACAGCAAGAGAATTAACATGGTATTCTTTAGTGGCACTAACTCCTAATGCTGCAGGAATCGCCTAAAAAATGGGAACAAATAAAATTTTATTTAAACTTTTTTCCCACATGAAGTAATTATGCTACGATTTTAACGAACCTTAAAAAGAAGTCCATTTGTATCTTGAAAAAATAAGACCCATCTCAAACCAGCATCTTTCCTGCAAAAAAAAAAAAAAAAAAGTAACAGTGGCTTCATAACTTGGATCAAGAGGGTTAACAATGGCACTTATAATTTAAGCTATAATTGCAAAATGAAAAGATTATATAGGACACAAATAAAGTAATAAATTTCTACACACCATTCTTTAAGAAGACCACTGGAATAAAGAAGAGCATGAACATCACCATGGCCATGAGGTTTTGTCTAATAAGAAAACAACAGATTATGATATTATGAAAAGCCAAAGGGATCAACTTGTATAACTTTTAAAATCTCACCTGTATTTTGTATTTATTGTTTGGGTCTAAAGCAAGTCTAGCATCATTATCAGCCAAGCAAGCAACCTTTTCCTGTAATATGATTAAGGCGAACTATCAACATTCAACACCATGTTGACTGCTGTAAATTGTAATGAGCATCAATGGTGGAAATTTTTTTCACCTGTTTTAAAAGTTTTACTTGTGTAGGTTTCATTCCAAAATAAGAATTTGATTCTAAGAGTTGTAACGTATGCCCATGTGTATCATCTGATGTCATTATCACAAGAGGTACGTCTCTTTGGCATTCACCTACAATTCAGAAGTAATGATGACATGAAGCAATCAGAAAATAATGAACTAGTTGTTGGATGATACAAAAAGTGAAAAAAGAAGAAAACCTTGAGCATGCTTGTAGCTAGCTTGTGATAAGGATAATATGGACTCAATGTAATGTTGTAAGAAACAAGTTCCTGTAGTTGTTTCCATAGGAAGCGCTACCTGTGATATGGTGCTAAGTTTACTATATAGCATTAAGTCGATAAACAAATGTTTTGATATTAGTATTGATAAAATGATGTGAAAACCTTTATTCCTTTGTATCCAAGACGTTCCCCAAGCCCTCCTGCAACAAGAACAAAGGCAGCATTCTGTATCTGCTTCACACCACTCTCCTCATATTGGATAAAGTTATCATCACCACAAGTGAGGACTTCACCTGATGGAACCTTCAAAAATAGAGACCTTATTTATATTGAATGTTCATAATGAGAGAAACTTAACAATGCAGATAATCAAGAAAACAAACGGCCAAGTTGCAGTGATTGATACCAAAAGATGGGGTGTAGTAGTAACTTACAGAAGGTGTGAAGCCATCAAATGGGTTCCTTCCTGCCTTTGAATCTGCCAAGAGTTCTCTGGCAGTCTTGATATATGATGCCAAACCTCCAGGGTAGCTTGAATTAAGCAGATCTATCTAAAAGAACTAAGCAAATGTCATTCTAGGATACAAACAGCAGCAAAAATTATTGCAATCCTTTGCATAAGCATCAAAAAGCTAGGATCTGATATACTTTTTAATATAATATTTCCAATTTGGGGTAATGAAGATGCGATTACACGATACCAAGGTCAATGGAGATGGGCCATCAAAGGGATAACATATAGAAACGACCTAAATTAATTGCCTGATTCAAAAGCCCTAGCAGCAAGTAAAATTACCTGAGCAAGCAGAGCCTTTTTATCATCATCATCAACACCAGGATCAGGCCAATTCTCAAACAAATGAACCTGCCCCGTCTCCAACAACATCTTTCCGAGCTCTATCTGCACATACCTCAAAAAGGTAAAATCAATCCCGTGCGACTTCATTTTATACAGACACACATATACACATACACATACCTGTTCGGGAGATAGAATCGAGAGGTTTTTTTGGAGATTAGGAGATGAAGATGTGGAGAGTTCATTGAGTTGAACGGTGGCGAGTTTCTGAATGGCGGAATCGACCGCTGAAGCCATGAATTAGGAAACTGTGAGAACGCTCTCAACTGTGATCCAGACACAGAGCTCGGTAATTGCAAACAAAAAATGGTGAAAGTGAAGAAGATGATTACAGCGATGAAGTAAAGAAATGGCAGACGAAATATTTTTGGAGTACTTATTCATATCGATCTGTGGTCGGGCTGGGTCACATTTTTCTCGATTTAGGTAGCGATTGGGTTAGTTTTTTTTTTATCATAAAAGTGTTTTTTTAATAAAAGTATTTAGGGGCTTATGGTTTTTTTTGGAAAAAGCAGTTTTTAAAAATATTTGGGTTAGTTTTTGCGGTAAAAAACCTGAAAAGTTAATAATTTGGTTTAAAAAATTGTTTGGCTCAGTTTTTAGGGGTAAAAAGCTAAAAAGCTAAATTTTTAAAAAGTGATTTAAAAAAAAAAAAAAAAAACTAAAAAACTATGATTTTCTAGCTTTTAGAAAGTCTTATATTTTGCCTATATAAAAAGCTTCAAAAAGATATTTCAAAAGTTATTTTTAAATATCCAAAAGCTGCTAAGTTTTCAAAAAATGACTTTAGTAAAAGCTAAAAAAACTATGATTTTCTAGCTTTTAGAAAGCCTCATTTCAAAAGTTTTTAGGGGTAAAAAGCTAAAAAGCTAAGTTTTTAAAAAGTGATTTTAAAAAAAACTAAAAAACTATGATTTTCTAGCTTTTAGAAAGCCTCATATTTTGCCTATGTAAAAAAGCTTCAAAAAGCTATTTCAAAAGTTATTTTTAAATACCCAAAAGCCTCATATTTTACCTATGTAAAAAGCTCCAAAAAAACTATTTTTAAATACTCAAACACTTTTGTAGCTTATTAACTTTTCAAAAAACTAATAAGCTAATAAACTATTTTGAAAAGCAATCACAAACACCTACTTACTTCTTTTATAATTATTTCCTTGAGAGTTTAATATTTTGATTTATGTGTCACCTTGAAACATCCTGTTTCGAGAAGTTTATTATTTCAGGATTGTGGACAATAAATGGATCAAGTAAAGGTTTTGGGCTTCAAGGGAATAGGGTTTAGACCCTATTGGATGTGGATAATATTGGTTATGTGATCCAAGCTTTTGGTTTGTGTTTTGGAGTCAAAGGGTAAAATAGGAAACGTGATGTTTTGGACTTCTTTCATGAATTAAGGATTTTAGTTCGGTATGTTTTAAGTCAAAAGTAATTAGATAGGATTGTGAAGCTCTTCAGTACCTTTCCTTGCATATAAAGAAGGCTGGAAACGGAGTTGAAACGAAGAAGTTATGGCTGTTTGAAATTGAAGTGGAAATTGTAGGTTTTTTGGATTACGCAGGGCATAACTAAAAGTTGCACAGGGCGTAATAGAGGTTTAATGAATTACGCATGGCGTAATCTGGGCAGATCAAAACCCTAAATCTTTGGTTTTGAGCCTTATTTAAGGGCTCTAACTTATGGGAAACCCTCTCATTACCAGCCTTCATCACCTAATATCATCCCTTGAGAAACCCTAGCCTCCTCTCACTTGTTTTTTAGCCTTGGCATCATTTATGATCTTATTTCTCCATTGGAAAGTTGAATCTCGAAGAGAAAGGTGGTGGAAAAGTGTATAGAAGAAGAGTTCAAATATAGATCCAGCAAGATTACATCATTCTTGGTCCATTGTGAGTAAAAAGCTTCTAACTTGCTTATTGGTTTCATAGATCTAGTTATTTGTCAAATTTGCCACTTTTTTGGTCATTTTAGTGCATAAAGTTTAGATCTTGAAAGTTTGTGACCTTGTTATGGATAAAGTTGGAAACTTTATCCATCTAAACATCATATTGATTCACAGATGAAGGTTCGTGACTTGGAATTAATTGATTAAGTTGAGAAAGATGCATTTTTGGTCCCTTTGAGACTTAAAGACCGGATCTTGATTGTTTTGACCATCTAATGGATACAGTTTATAAAGTTGGAAATTGTATCCATTATGGAGCTAGTAGGAATCAGATCTAAGCTTTGAGTGAAAGGTCTTAATGTATTAAGTGCTTAAAATGAAGTTTTGGATGTGGAGGCTTACGCAGGGTGTACTTAAGGTTACGCAGTGCGTAGTCTGGTTGGACCCCCTATTATGGAATAAGGCTCTACGCCATGTGTAGAGCTGGAGTATGCAATGCATAGGTAAATGGATGTTGACCTTGACTTTTTGATCTGTTGACTTTTAGTCGACTTCGAGGACTTGAGGACTTAGAAGGGCAAAATGGTATGTTGCCCAAATGAGGATTTATCTTGGTATTTTGAATTGTTAAGTTGGAGTATTTACCTTAATTACTCATTAGGGTTTGGTTTGTGGATATGTTAGTGGGAGAGACTTTAGCACCGACAGCTCGTGTGTAAGATATATTCGTTTATCGATCAATGTGAGTCTTCTCATTATACTTGTGGTTCAAAGGCACCGATGTCGGCTCATTGGATTGTGTTATGTAGGATGCTAGTTGTCTTTGTGACTCTTGCATGTATGATTGGGTTGAAATATACCCTAGGGCTGGGGTCCCAGAGCCGGGCTCATAGTTGTATGTTTGGGTTGAAAGAAACCTCAGGGCTGGGCCCACGATTGTATGTTGGGTTGGAATATACCCCAAGGTTGGGCCCACTGATTAGTATGGTATGTGGTACTTTGAGAAACTCATTAAACTTTTTGCTTACGGTTTATGTTTAAAATGTTTCAGGTATTTTTTGTTTCAAAATGAAGGGTCTGGTTTGATCGCACTACATCCCCTGGAAATTTATTCCGTACTGAATGTTTACGAATTACTCTGATGTTTTGTGAATACTTTGACTCTGATTGTCTTTTGGAACAATAAAGGAATGGTTTTAAATTATTTAAAAATAAAATTTTTTATCGGTATTTTTAGAATGTTACACACCTATTAATAAAGATTACTGCGGATTTGTAGTATTACAATTAAATATTTATACAAAGTGAGGAATTTTTAGAAAAATATAAATCATGCATTGAATTTAAGTAGTTGCATACCCTTCAAATTCCATTTTTTCTATATCATAAAAAATAAATAAATAAATAAACAAATAAAAATTACAAGATTACACCAGTTTTTGTGTTGGAAGTCGTTCAACATAACAAAATTATTTAAAAAAATCAAATCTCTTTAGTTTAGAAAAACCGTAGGAAATCAAATCCAGAAATTCAAAATCTATCATAATCACACAAAAGTTTATAAAGTTTATAATGCTTTAATCCAAAAGAAATCCACACAATTTATTCCTTATTATTATCAAAGGACTTTAACAAAAAAAATTATAAAACCTACATAATGTTACCTGAAAACCCTAACATTTGAATGTTGTCTTCGTCTCTCTGGTCACCACTAGGATTAACAACGATCGTTATTAAGTTGGACCCCATCCCACTCTGTAGCCCTGAGTGCTCGTCCTACTGAGTTCGTCTGTAACGCTTGCGTTTCTGGCTAAGCATTAATTTTATGATGTAATAGTTATGGTCAACAATAGTAACCTATTTTGAAGTAATGAAGAAGATTTATTTGAGTGTTATGTGATTTATGTACAATATATGTGCTTATAACGATATAATAAATAATAATAAAAATATGTGTCAAAAATAGAATAAACATTTGACCCAATATCTTTAAAGAAAGTCGAAGTACTCGTGACAAGGATTTCGGAGATATAAAGAGCGCTGAAATCCGACTTATAACGAAGAAGTTATGACCCGTCGAAGTTTCACGACAAAACCGGCACGACGCCGCGGATCGTAAAAAGTGAATTTTTGATAAACTACTTTTTAGCCTTAGAAATTTAAACGACAGTTGTAGTAGACGTTAAACCGAGAGCATGCATATAGAGAACGTCCAAATCTGACTTCGTTAGAGGAAGTTGTGGTTTTTCTAAGATTTAGCATAGCAGTGCACAACCCGGAAATCGAATTTTGGATCGATCAATTTTTAGCCGACACAACCTAAACGAGAATTGAAGATCTCGTTAATAGAAGTTTGACGATATAAAGACAGATGAAAACAGACATCGGATGACAAAATTATGAATTTTTAACGGACTTTAACTGTCTAAACCTGTTAAAATATAACTTTAAAAATAAAGTCAAAGTTAGCCGACGGAGTCTAAACGAAAGTTGTAGATCACGTCGCTAACTACGCTTGAACATAAAGAACGTCAAAAACAGAGCTCGTATGCGAAAGTTACAGAATTTAGAAGATAATTAAATTATGGGTTAAGTTCTGGAGCGACACGTGGCACAATCACATCCACACCTTCTTCCCCACGGCTTTGCATGAGATGCTGGCATGTGGAGTAAGTACGCCCAACGTAGGGCTTGGTACTCCCTGCGTACCGTGTACGCCCAGCGTACAGGTTTAGTACGCCCCGCGTACGCGCAATTCTCAGTCTATAAATAGAGGCACAAATCACCTCATTTCTTCACACCTTTTCTCAACTTCTCTCACAAATACACCCAAACCCTCTCTTCCTTTCCATAGCACTTCCTAAGTGTTAGGAAGCGAGTCCCGGAGCGCCAGAAGGCTCCGAGAAGAAGAGCTTTCGGCTCAGAAGTTCTGCCCGCGCAATTCCCGGTTCCTCGCTAAACCCCCTTGTAAGTGAGTTACGCTTACCCTACTTTAAGTATAACTTATGTTTAATTTCATTATCGTTATTATAAACCTATAAACAAGATTTATCTGTGATTCAAAGTCGTTATACTGATTGGTCTACTTACGGGGATGATGTCTAGGTTGTGATTTAGTGAGGTGTTTAAAGTGAGATTTTCAAACAGTATACTTCGTATACCAAACGGACCCTACCTCCGATATGATCCTACCTGGTTGTTCCTTACTTGTTAGATCATGAAAGTAGATTTTGGGTTAATGATGAATCTAGACTAATAACTGGTCGTAAACTCACAATAAATATTAGACTAAAACTTAATAATAATATTAGGTTTCGTCAACGGGAAAGACAATTGTTAGAAGCGAAGCGCTGCCCAAATTTCGAGTCACCACCTTAACAGGTGAGTGCATATTTACGTTCATCTTACACATAGATATGAAGTATTTAATATAAATTACGTGCTATGTGTGCATATTATCTGTGTTCTTGATATCTATGTTGGATGAACAATTTATAGAT